CGGAGGGTCTGTGGGTCTCCAGAAAACACCGGAGGGTCTGTGGGTCTCCAGAAAACACTGGAGGGTCCGGGCAAGACGTCACAGAAGTCAGTCCAACAGTGAGTCAGGTGATATGAAATGTTTGTTAAAGCAGTTTGAGACCTCAGTTGTTCTTCCATGAAGCAGCTCTGTTGTCCTCCATCCATATTTTCAGTTCCAGGCTGAGTCATTTCTACCTTCTCCTCTCTGTCAACGCTCTCTGGTTTCATTTAAAAGAGTCGATCATCAGATATTGTCCAACATTAACCTTCAGGGTGGGTATAGCTCGCTAGCAGCCTTGCACCGAGGACCTACCCACGTCATCATTTACCCAGAATGCTTTGCGTGTAAATAAAATGGCTCCGTTCGTGTTAAAATATATTTCTAAAAATGTACAAAACTAACCAACAGTATTTTTACAGTCTTTATTTTACAGTTAAATATATGTTTACCAAATAAAGTCTAATGTTACAACTAATCGGGATCCCTTTAAAACCAACTTTTACATTTAAGACTTTTTAAAGGTCTTAATTTGAAATATATTAATTTATTAGTTTTTAAGGACCAGCAGACACCCTGGCATTACAGAACCAAAACAGGTTTGAGGTTTGGGGTTGGGACTGTTTCGTGTTGGGGCAGCTCAAGCTGGCTGTCTCGTTTGGATCATGTGGGATTTTTCTGGTCCTCTATCAGGATGGGATTGGGGCTGTTGTCTGGGCCTGGGTCATTCTTGGGATGCCCGGCCCTCATCCAGACCAACGAGTGAGTGGTTCTGCTGCTGTTGAGGTTTGGCTGTCTGCTCCTCTCCACCCAGAATGAGGGAAACTACCTCCTGGGTCCGGATGCAGGCTGCCCCCTGCGAGGGGTTGGTTTGTGTCCTAGACCTGGAGGTGTAGAGTGCGTATGGGGAGTGAGTGTGGCGTCCATTTTGTGTGTTTACATTAAATGAGCAGTTGCGAGGGTGGGGATGTTTAACTATGTCTGTGTGTGCCTGGAAAACTGTCAGGCTCCTTTCCTTGATCCCCTCCACGCTGATGGTGGTGCTTCACTCCAGTCACACTCCCCTCTGGTGGGTGGTCCTCTTCCCATCGGTGCATAGGTGGCTCTTGGTGTCTGGGGCTGGGTGCTCACGTATGAGCCAGCTCGGCCTGGTGGGGCTTGGTTCCTCTGGCCCTGTCAGGCCTTGGCTGGGAGTGGGGGTGCATCCTTGGGTCCATGGCCGGATCTGCTACAGTGTAGCAGGTGCTGGCAGAGCCAATGGGCTCGTCGCTGCTGGCCCCAGGGTCTTCTGCATTGTCATTGCTAAGGGGGTTCCCCCAGTTCCCTCCTCTGCTCCACTCTGGGGGTGGGGGTGGTTGCTCCTGCTGTGGCACCCCTGGGGGCTCCACACTGGGGTCCCTCTCGGTGCCTTTGGCTCTGGTCTTCCTCATGTCTGCCTCAGGTCTTAGGGGTTGGATCTGTAGGTCTCCACAGTCACTATTAAACATTTCAATGGAGAAACCTTATACTGCTGGTGCTCTGGATCCGGATCTGAAAGATACGATAGCTGGTAAGTATTTGTAGATGTCTGGTTGAGGTTTCAGGATTTTGCAGGTGAATATTGAATCTTACAGTTTCCAGGTGGAGGCTTTGCTCAGAGGAGAGGTTCAAGTTCTTCAGGTAAGTGTTCTTGGTTTTCAGGGAAGGATTTGACCAGCAGGCAGAAGGATCAAACAGATAAGTGTTTACCATGAATGAGGTGAGAGGCAGACAGGCAGCAGGCTGATCAACGAATCAAGTGAGTGAGCTCTAACAAGGTTCCACAGGCAGATGGCAGAGATCTTCAGGTAAGTTTTTCCAAACAGATTTTAAACACACAACAGATCAACGTGTAAGTTTAATTCAAGCAGAACACTACTGAGCGGCCAGGAGTAGTACAGAGGGAATTGGATATGTAAGGCTCCAGCAAAGACCTTCTTCTTCTTTTGAATTTTATTGGCAGCTGGCAACCAACTTAAGTTGCATTTACCGCCACCTACCAGACTGGAGTGTGGTCATCAGTGATCTCAGAGGGAATTTAACACACCTCAATGATGAGTATGATGTGCAAATTCACATCCTAACATATTCATTAAATAAATGTATGAGCAAGTACCGGCGTACACACGCTTACATATATACATTTTCTAAATACAGTTAATTAACCCAATATTTTTTAAAAACCTAAACAAGTGATTTCTAAACATAGTTTGCTTTATTTCCAAAAAGATAAATCATAGACAGTCCTACATTCTTTCTGCTTAATAATGACTTTAAAAGCTGACATTCCTGTGAGTATTTATCACATTCTAACAAGACATGCTTCACTGTTTCCATCTGATTACAATAATTGCAAGCCCCATTCTCATGCTTTCCTATTCTAAAGAGAGAACCATTAAGCCCAGAATGTCCAATTCTAAGTCGAGTCATAATTCCTTCCTCTTTCCACCTTCCACTCAAACAATTATTACCTTCCATAATCTTTTGAATTGCATATAGTTGTCTTCCATTATCATGGTTGTCCCATTGCTCCTGCCAAATCTTAATAATTTCTTTTTGAATAATACAGATTTCCCCCCACTTTTACTCAAAGGAATATTTAAATTAACAATTTCTAATTTCAAGGCCTGCTTAGCTAGAATATCTACTTCTTCATTTCCTTCTACACCTGCGTGAGCAGGAATCCAGACATATCGAACAAAACATTTGTTATGTAGATGAACTAATAATTGGTATACTATACTTAATGATAAATCTAATCTACAAGATTTATCAAAATTTATACTTAATAATGCCACTTGTCTATCTGATGCTATTATAAATTTACTTTCTTCCCTAATATCATTATCAAGCAACCACTCTAATGCTAATATAATGGCTGATAATTCAACTGTAAAAACAGCTAAATGATCAGTTGCTCTCTTCTAAATCACGACTTTATGGTGTGGGATACTCACTGCTGCCCCAGTTCTACCACTATTTGGATCTTTAGATCCATCCGTACATATAACTATGTTGTCTTTATATCTTTCAAAATATCTATTAACAACAACCCATAGTGGAGTCTTTCATTTTTTAAGAATTCACCCCAATTGAAGATCAACTTCTGGAGATACAAATAACCATGGTGGAATTGCAGATTGAGGGATTGTTTAACTATACTGGAGTATAGTGAAACCAAGGTTTTTAGCCTTTATGCCAGCAAAGACCTGTAGGGGTAATTTAAACGTTAGAATTCTGAAATAGATAATTTGTGAATATATTTAAATCAAAACCAGAACATCTCATCAAGACACAAAAAAATTGAGATTAGCTAATGTTGGCACGTTCTCCACGGGCCATTTATTTACACATTAAAATGTATTTACACATATGGCAAGCAATGAATGAATGATGACATGTTGAACCAGGTAAACTGAGAGAGTTTGTTATCACAAGTGAATGGACAAACAGACAAAACAACAAACAAACAAACGTGTAAACAAAATAAACACTGAGAAATGGGTTGAGGCTCTGAGGGAGGTAAGCTGTTTAGCTGTGGTTGTTTTAACTAAGGGTTCCTAGCTAAATTAAGGTCGAGAAAAACGTTTAGTTTACCAACTCTCCTACAAAGATAAAAATCAAATATACGTCTGAGCACTTGTGTGTTTCACCAAGACATAGTGGTCACCTTTTTCCTTTGTGTTCTGCCGTGTGGGTACCAGGAGGTTGAAGTCAGCTGTGGAAGACCATCTCTGGAGCTTGTTCTCCAGACAGGCTCTTCATGCGAACTGGGTGTCAGGCGGTCTTGCCTGGTAGACTCGACTGGTCCCGTGGTCAGAAAAGGAGTTTCTCTCTCTCTCTGGTGACTTGGGAGTCTGGCTCTTCACAAGTGGCTTCAAGACCCTCAATTTGATCTTCACTTTGTAGGAAAAACGGACTAAAACGATGTATGAATTACCATTAGCTTATTTGACTCCTTTAAAAATCAAAACTCAAGGGCTGAGTCGAAGTGGGATGAATGAGCTATTATGGGTCAAATGGTGGAGTTGCCCCTCCCACCCTTCCCATACTGATCAGTACAGGGAAGGCCTGGCAAGAGGGGACGGCTGCTTCTGGTTTTAGCTGCACTCTCGTCTGTGTTCTCTTCTTCTTCTCCTTCCTTTCTCTTCTGTGTACCAACTTTAAGACCTCTGTTATGGGCGGAGTCAAGGTTTTAGTTAGCCAATTGAAAAACTTTGGTAAAGTTTTTAACAAATCAAATGT